CCCCCCCCCCCCCCCCCACAAATCATATCGAAATCTCTCTCCCTCTAAACCCCATATTTGTTTACCCTTTGGATTTTCATCTCAGTTGGAAGGTTCAGATGTCAAGGAAAGCGAGCAAACGGGTCAGCTTCAGTCCCGATGTGAATGATAAGCCAACAGTCCTGCTCAAACACGGCGGCCGTGACAGCGGAGCCGGAAAATGGAGCTTCGGCCTTAGCAGAGACACAAGGTACTTGCCGGTTAGGTTTCTACAGAGCCTCAAGGCCAAAGTAAGTGAAGCCATTCGGTTTGTATCAACAAGAAAATCTTCACGAAAGGTTTCTTCAGCCTCCACCTCCACCTTTACGAGGTCAAGATCGGTCTCGGACTCCATGGACTCGCATCGAGCTGAAGCCATTGAAGATTGCATCGAGTTCTTAAACCACTCTTCATCTTTGTCCAGATCAAATTCAGTCTCTGGAAGTACGTACTGAAAGTTCTGTACTCATGGGAATGGAATGTGCATGTAAAATTTAGTCGATATTTTAGACATTCTTTTGCGTGCCCGTCTCTGTAAGATGATGCTTTAGCAGATGATAATAGAGTTTCTGCCTTCGAAGCTCTGAAATTTTCTTGTCTAAATGCGTGAACACCAGAGATCTGTTCATTAAAAAATTACATAAATTGGATATCAACAAAATATCGCTTGATCAGGTAAATTAATATGCATAAAAGTTTACTTGGCTGAGTTGTTCTTGTTCAGTATTGTCCATAAAGGAAGGAACTGGATGGAACAACCACCGTTGACGGCCTAAATAATGGCATCTCCTCAAGGAGTGAATGGCCTAGACAGCACGAATCTCTCTGCGTGATATGTTTGGGCCATAAATTTTTAGAAGCCAACAGTTAGACAGGGATGAGTTAGACCTGTGAATTTGTAGGGCCACGCCTTTGAAGAGCTGAAAGATTCTCAATTAGCAAGCATGGTTGGTCAATTCTCAATCAGGGGGCCCACCTGTAAAACCCCAGTTTGTCCAAACAATTGCAAAGGAGAAACATAGGAACATGCAGACCCACATGCAGTGCAATGCTTAATGGTATGCTCGAAATGATATTCTTTATTTGTTTTAGTTTGAGGTATGCATGGGGGTGGGGTTCATGTCCATGAAAATAATGAAGGGTGAGTAGTACTCGTGCGGGATAATCTCGTGCTAATCATAATACATCTCCATAATCATTATATTTTCAAACTAAAAGAATCAAAATCAAGATCCACAGCAAAATAAAATTACATAATGAGGACAGAGTAATCATCACATTAAACGAGAGAAAGAGAGAAGGGGAGGGGGGGAGAAATGAATGCTGTTTCTAAAAATTACCGGTCCATCCAAAGCCACTTTGTTGTGGTTATCTAACATTGAATAGCATAATCAGGAATCCGAGGAGAGTTTTTCAAGTTCTCGAATTCCTTGACTGGAAGCTTTCTTCATTTCAAGAGCCCTCTTGTAAGGTGGGGCGATAGGAGGTTGCACAGGATCTAAGCTCCGATAAGTTCCCTCGGCACCTCTGGGCAGTGGGTATGAACGGTCGGAGTCATATCCACTGAGGTCCCCACATGCAAGAAATGGGATGTAAACTTTATTGGGACCTTCCAGCCACCCACTACTGCAATCTGCGAGGGACACAATGTAGCAAAATAGCAATGCTATTACTTCCACTTGTGTAACGAAAAATACCAGGCAATTGACCACATCAAAATCAGCAAGGACACTAATTTTAAAATGCCTAAAGACAGGAAGACAGCTCGGTCATAGCACCAGCTGTAAAACAAATAAATCTTGAAAAACAGGACAAGAACATGTTTGATCTTAGGATGCGTCCATCCATCGATACGTAAACACTCAATCAAGGCAGTACATTAGTTTACCTAAGTCATCTCCTCCTGATGGACTTCCCACCTTTTCCAGCAGGCGATGTAGATCTTTTGGGTTGAAACCTTCGAGAGGAGAATAGTTTTCACAGACTGCAAATGCCTCTGCATTCATATCCAATCCACATATTAGCTTCGACATGAACATAACGTTAAATCATAATCAGAACTTTGTTTAAAAGTCTTTACCGTGGGTTCACCTAGGTGACTAAAAGAAATCAATGGAATGAATCGCAGATTTAGTTCAAGATGTATCCACTTAATCCATTCAACTTTTAAATGCTCCAATTATGTTCTTGAACTCTTGATTTTGATCCCATTAATTTCCCATGGTTAACATTGTGGCTTAAATGTTTTCATGGAACGTTGATTAGACTAACGAATAATGATTTGAAATGATATACCAACATGTGATATAAAAGAGAAAGCCAACTAGCTAAGCTAAGGGCAGACAAACCCAGAAATTCAGTTTAAAATGTAATTGCTCCCATCGCGTCTTTTCGCATCTTCCATAATTTTGTTTAACATGCCTACTTCTGGTACATAACGCCAAATAATCACTTGCTGATAATTTAAAATTTTAAGCAAGTGATAAAAGAACGCTTGCTGGATGTAATTGGAACTTTTTCTAGTTCACGAACACAACCATGAAAGTTTAGAAAAATTTTACTTTTGCCCTGGACTATTTTGTCCTCTATTACATCTTTTTTATATTACAGATGTCACCACGAAAATGAGCTAACTCCACAATTTGCTGTTGGGTGGACACCAGTCCCACCACCTAGAATTAAACGATAACAATCTAAAGTTGATTTACGGAATCCAAGTACGATGGGTATCTAAAAATTCATGCGCAAGAATCTTATGAACCAGACGCTATAAAGAGAAAAAGGCAATGTTCAATTAGGAGAAAATCATTTTCTGAAAACAAGTTCAATCATAACCGAAAGATAGACCTCTATAGCTACCAATGGACAAAAAAAAGTGGGAAAACCAAAACGTTACCTATACTGGAATTGCGACTGCTTTTTGGTTTTGCAAAAGTCACTACAGGGAAAAATAACTTCAGCTGCAACAGAAAAACCCAAAAATGTAAAACATCATTGACGGCACAATCACTTCATGTATGAAACAACAAACACCAATCTTTGATTAAGATCCTTATTTAATCCATGATAATACTTGACAAGTTTTACTAGTGCTAAACGCATCTAAAAGAATTCTATACGTCAATGCATTAATTATAAGGAACAGAAGAGCTCACAGGAAATTTTCCAACTTGACTGGAAAAAAAATGTAGAAGAGAAGAGAGATTCATATTGTAGATGCCATTAGTGAGAACACCATAAATTTCTTCGTTACTCGAGTATGCTACATGCTTTTTTAATTGGGTATTGTATAACAATCATTTAATATATACCTGACAATACAAAAGGCTTGTATCCTTTCCACGGAATATCTTTGCTATGAACTTACCACCTTCTCTGAGAACGTGAGTAACTATTGTTAAACCCTGCAAAGAAAAGGGGGAAAAAACGAGATGAGCTCAGTTACTTAAACCTTATGTATCTCCAACTATATTGAGAACTAACTCAAGGAAGAGAGAGAGGGAGGAAAAACGAGGCAGAGCAGAGGACAGTGATGGAAGCAACAAAACTAAGTCCATAGAGGAAAAAGATCAAAGAGTGCAGGCAACATACAATAGAAAAACCCTTAGAATGCTTCAGTATAACCTCCTAATACAGCAACCACCATTTACCTACAGGATCTCAACTACTTTGCTCGCTAGTTACACATTATTTTCTATTTGTAGGTTCAAACAATTTGACACTCATTAGCGCTTCTCTTGTTGGTTTTAGTTTTTGATCCTTTCCACACAGTAAATGTGAGATGAAGCAACATCATTACTGTCAATGTGCATATATACCATGCATTTTTAAAATATCTTAAACTATTCATCAGCACTTTCTCGAGAAATTAAACAGTCTCTGTAGAAAACGCAGCACTTACGGCTAGTATGAGCTGGGACTGAACAAACTCGTCCATGTCATGAAGACCAGTAACTACAAACAAGCACATAATCAGTAACAAAATATCATCAGGTGGAACCTCAACAGAGAATTCAAAAAACACAAGTATCTACCATCTGGTGCACCATCACAAACAACCAGGTCAGCCTTGCACCCATCAAAATGCCTAATGACCTGGTAAAATTAAATATTTGATAAGCCATGCAGAAAAACATATGACAATTTAGTATGTGATCAAATTGTTCAATAAAATAAAAGATTTCTAACACAACGTGAGTATTCATTCAAAGAGAAAAAAATCCAGTATGGAGAAAAACATAGGAAAATTATCACAAATAGAAATTTTAAAACAAAATTGACCATGTCGGTGCATTAGGATCTGGATATGTCTTCGTTTACCACTTCAAATGTTAAAAAATACTTCGTACATGGTACACCCGGCTTACCACTTCAGCTGTCCTAGCATTTGTTATATCACCCTGCACTTGAATAACACCTTCAATTGGAGCCATCGGTTGTAAATCAATAGCAACAATAAGAGGATGATCGCCATCCCTGCAAGTTAAGTTAGAGAATCAATGAAAAGGGAGAAAACAAGGGGGAAACGGAGAGAAGGATGGGAAGGAAAAATTTATATTTTCATGAAATGATCTACCATAACTTACTTCGAATCAGGAGAAAGCTTTGCTGGGAGATACAATTTCCTACTGAGGACCTACATATGATTAGTAGGCGAGAAAATGTAAAGACAAGTTTGAAATAATTAACCAAAATTAATTATATTTTTGTTCAATAGTTGCAGCAACACATACTACATTGCTTTTATCAACCTCCTTATATTTAGTGTTTTTCATAACGTGAAATGTACTGAAGCATAATACTCCTATGAGTGTTAATATAAAAATACAGATAAAAATATATATTGTTCTGAAAAATAAGATAATGAAAGTTTAAAAACAAGCTTTTATAAGAGTACTTAAAAATTAAGGAATTCGAGTTGTTTTCTTCCCTTTTTCAAGAATACTTAATGTTATCATTACTTTTGAAAAGTGTACCAAAATGTAGGGTCAATGAAGGGAGGAGAGTATTGCACCCCATATGCAGGCATGTTTTTCAAAAAATGCTTACAATGCCTATCACTTGAAGAATTCTTGTTAGATTTAGTTGTTTTATATGAAGAAAAAAAAAATCCCCAAAAAGCATTGACCACTAGTTTGATAAACAAATTGCAACAAGAAAACGCCCAAGAAATTACCTGGCTCCAGCTACCGGGGGCTGCACATAAATCCACCACTCTCTTGACTCCTGCATTTAAAATTTCATGGTAGATGATTAACTTAGAAGCGTTTCAAATGACTTGTACATGATAAAACAGGATGATTACAAAGGAAAATAAATCACACAGATTTCAGGAGGATTCTAGAAAATAATCTGTTATGGAATCCAAAATGTTGCAGCAATAATTATTCTCATTCATGTCGACCATCTCAGTGATTGACATCCCAGCAGAAATGTAAGAATATTTCAATAGAGAGGAGCCCAATACAAGAACAAACCTTCCAATATGTTAAATTCGTCGTCTATCTGAAGAAGTTTAAATGCACTTCGAGCACGCCAACCTTCTTCTTTTGCTTTACGGTAGTATATATCCTAAATGAGACACAGTAAATAAAACATGGAAATAGATAATGAATTAGAAAGACAAATAGTCAAAGGCAATAGTGCTTAAACCCTCTTATCTCTCGAAGCTTTGCCCATGATTGAAGAATCAAGCAAGAGTTTCTGGTAGTGTTGAGAAGACAGGCCTCCTGGTAACATTCAAACCCAGCAAGAATGTTAAAGTGGGTCATCAAAGGAAGTCTTAAGTGTATTTAATATTAAATAAAGTATTGAATCCTCAACCCAAAAAAATAAACAAATTTTGGTCTAGAGCCAACAAGCCTTGCAACAACAATTCAATTGGAGAGTCAAATTCCTTCTTTCCAGAAATATTTGCCACATTCGTGGTTAAAATCAAAATGGAGCAAAAACATCTAATTAACAGATAAGGCTCCAATTGATAACCATGGGGTTTTTTGTTTCTAAATTTTGAAAATTAACCTTATAAGAATTGCTTCCACTCATGAGTTTATCTACTTTCTAACAATTTTTTCAAAATTCATGTCAAGTTTTGAAAGCTATAAACAAAAATAAAAATAAAAAATAGTAATAAATAAAAACTTGTTTTTACTTTAGGAATTTGGTTGAGAATTCAAACGCCACCTTACAACAGATGATGAAGACCATTGTAACGAAATTGTGAGAAAACAGAACAATTTTCAAAAAATAAAAAACTAAAACAAAATGGTTATCAAACAACGCGTAAAAATTCCAGATTAGAACACACTATGCAGTGTGCTCATAACCAACTCATAAGAACTAGCTATACAATCTTCACCTCAGAGTACCACATCCTACGGTTAACGTTTACATGGATAGCGTAGAGATAAATGAAATCTTGATCAGGCATTTCATCGAACATCTAACATGCCTCGGAATGTACAGAACTTCTACACCCCTCCGACAACTGCTTACAATCGGACACACCCAGAAACAATTCTATAACTCAGAGAATTAATATTATTTCCGTCATATCTGATGTCAACTTCAAGGGACAATTTGTGAAGTTATTAACAACTAACTACACAAACAAACTACTAGTTACAACTCAACCAGTTGCCAACTAATTACAAGTTGATTAGTTACACAATATAACAGCAAACGAATAGGTCTAACTCCGCCAAACTTCATGCTGCGACGGATTGAACACTAGATATAGTAGAAAGAATTAGGGCAAGCCGGAAAATGTTCGCACAGCTGTGCAAAAAAAAAAAAAACAAGAAAAGGAGGAAACTCTTACAGTAGAGATGTACGACTAGGTCCGTTCCCAAGCTGAAATCAACCTGATGCTAACTTCAAATCTTAAGTCCAGTAGTTTTGTGCCGGCGCGCCGCTACTGCTACCCGCGTCTTGAATCCTTATTTCTTTAAATTTTAAATTCTGATGAATATATATATATATATATATATTCCAATTAATTATAAATTCTCTCTAAATCCCATTTTTAGTGCTGGTTTTGGAACTTAAATGAATATTAAAATAAGATTAAAATGTTTTCACTTTGTTAGGGGTGCAGGGATTTAGTATGATACACTTTACTGTGATACACGGTAAACTTTGATATAGTTTCAAGATAATTAATGTAATTATTCACGGTAAACTTTGATATAGTTTCAAGGTAATTAATATAATTATTCACGGTAAACTTTGATATAGTTTCAAGGTAATTTATGTAATTATTCAAGGTAAACTTTGATATAGTTTCAAGGTAATTAATGTAATTATTCACGCTCAATTTTAGCATCAAATAAAACTCCAAACTCCAATTTATCAAACCCTAATACCACACAAAGTGAGTTATCAAATTTTGATAAAATCTATGTTAAAAGACTTCGAATTTTAGAAATATCTTATCCCATTCAAATTTTATAAAACATAATTGATGTTATAAAATTAAAATATTAATCTAATGAAACTCTTAGCTTAGAATTTTGAAATTAAACCTGTAATTTAATCAATAACATACAATAGTGATTAAAAAAACACATTACGTTTGGAACTATTTCAATTGAAATGAAGAGGCATTCAGTCAGTTGTAGCGAACAAATACCATCGTGAAATAATTTACAACCAAAGAGCTTAAGCTATAAATGGAATTTGTAGGGTAGTTTGTAAATAGAGATAAATTATACCCCACAAGGAAAATCAATGATCCACTATGGATAAAATATTTTTGCCCATTCAACGATTAAACAGCTTCAAATGGATGGAACAATCATTTTGATTCTACGACATTAGCAGCTAATGAGGCTTAGGGTTCTATATTTCCTTTCACAGCCTGACTTCAAATTGCTTTTGAATTAAAAAAAGTGAAATGAGTGGTCTACAGCAGCATATATTTGGGCAAATAAAGTGACATTGAACAAAAAATTATCAGGAAAATACATGCTGGGAAACTAGCCATCTCTTCCAATCAAGAACCCAACGGACAGATAACTAGCTCCTTCAACTCAGATGTTTCAAAGGGGCTGATGGAAGCTGCACATTAGTTTCCAGAAGCTATGGGGACAATTGCTGGCTTTGCATCCTCAGCCTTTTCGTGTTCTTTATTTAGCATCTAGAAAACAGATTTTTTCACCAGAGCAATCAAGGAGTATGAGCTAATGGAGAGGATATGTGTGCATAAAAGAGCGTTCAAAAGTGATTTTAACCATGACAAGTCACATTTCTAAATCAACCCCAAACATGAAATCATTCAAGGTCAATTTTAATGGTATGAAAATCACGTTAAAAAGAGTAAAATCAAGTATTAAATAGGCATATGTAATAGAGAATTGGAGGATGACAAAAGTAATTTTAACCATTTCAAAATCACTCCTAAACATACCCTAAATCGGCTGGAAATGACAGACACTAACCTTGTTATTGATTAAATTATGAAGTGCAATGACACTCCGGATGAGTGAGGAAAGATAAATAACCAGCATCATATCATTGGTTTTTACTGCAAATGATTTTATCAACTCTGCCACGTTAAGATTTGGAAGAAGGTTGAATACATCCTGCAATTTTGAGTAGAAATTAAACATCGGTATAGCTTTTCAGGGTGTTTTTAGGGTGGAAACTAGTAAATCATAATCAATTGGTCTGTTCCATGTTAATACTTCTCGCACCACATAATGCATAAAACATGATGGAAAACAAATCACACCACAATGAGGAAGTTCTTACATAAAAGTGTGTGTTACGTAACAAATCTACAAAGAGGGATGTATGCATTTGAAAAATTCACGAGACATGTGACGAATGCATCTTATTATTGGCCATGACATCAATGTAATCCCTTTTCCCTCTTCACTGGATCTGTATAGAGACTTGTCTATTAATTGATCGTTCTTTTCTGGGGGGCAAAACCTACTGGGTTTTTAATCGTTTCACAAATATGAGATATCAATATCCTGGGAATGATAGTCAAGGCAATTTGATTTCATGATATCCTAGTTGAAGACAAACTACAAAGGAATTCCAATCCTTCGGTTATTAAAACAGTGCTTGAGTGAGATGAGACACAACATGAACTTATTGAATAAAAAAAAGGAAACAACTTTTTATAAGCATATAATACTGAAACCAATAAAACTTATGCTGATAACGTTCAATTAATAAACAAACGAATAAAATAGACATCAGAAAAAGAAGAAAAAAGAAAGGACCACATAGGCAAGGCACCTGAATATATGACATTTTTTTCTTAAGATATGTTTATTCCTTTTTTAAAACCGCAAGCAAGTTTACCTTGCTTAGCATCAGATTACGCAGGCAAAGGTGCATTCAGCACCTAAACATGCCTTCTAAAAAAGTGGACAACATGTTTTGAGTTGCGGAATAGTTGTTATTTTGATTGGACAAACAGTGTAGAAAGCACATCATCAAATACATTCTATAGTACACAAGCGCAGGCGCAGGTGAATCAATATAATGCAGTGACATGCATAAAAACTGCACAGAAATGGTTAGAGAAAATGGTACCTGTAAATGGTAAAGAATCTCATGATTTAGCGGAAGCTTCTCATCAATAACAAGATCAAGGTAGCCACGAATCTCACGCAGTCGTGCATCCAAACCTTTCAGAGCAGTAAGTTTTCCTGTCACCTATAAAATATCATTTATATTAGTCAATGCCTTCGTGACCTATGCTGTCATCTAAAACTTCAAGTTTCATACATCAAGTAAATCAAAAAGGTTTTGGAACAGTTTAAATAAAAGAAAACTGATTGGAGAAAACTGCAATGCAAGACAAGTAACAGTAAAGGAAATTAACCTCATTGGCAAGTGTACTAATGGTGGTATCCTTGACATCCCTTAGTAAGTGTTCCACACCTGTATTTAGACAAACCAAGAGTGTTATATGGTAAAAAAAAAACTGATGAACACCCTAAAACGGGAGACTTGAAATTCATTTTAGTACTCACCAATTTCCTCAACCTCGTGGGCAGCAATAACTGAAGGTACATGAACAAAGATCTTCTGGCTCTTTTGGGTAGCATTCTGTCACCCAAATTAGAAGATATGTAACGTCAACTAGAAAATGATCTTAATAGTAAATTCAGAACCATTAACTCTCTAACGCATCGAACATTTTGGGGAAAAGAGATAACATGAAATCATACCTCTTTAACTTCTTCAACATCATAGTAGGCTTTAGTAGGTATTCCCAACTCCTTTGGTTGAACATCAATAATCACAAGCACAGGATTTGGTACATAACTAAAAATCCACCGGAGAAGATATGAGTGACTCATGGTGTAACCAGACAAACAACATCGGTCAAAATGATGCAATATTCATCATTTACTGACTATGTGATTGCCTCCTAAAGAGTCTAAATTCATGGTATAAAATTACATAGATAAGGGATTAGAAAACTAGAAAAAAGGAACACAGAGAGGACAGGATAGAGAACAAGCAGAATAGTTTTTAAGAATGCAGAATTTGAGAACATGAAAGTAAAATTGTGAGAACCTCAATACCAAACATGTATGGGGATCTTACTTGTGGAACAATTGGTGAATATCTAGATCATTCTCCCTTAGCTTTGGACCTGTGCTATACCAACCTACGATGTGCTCCTTAGCTGACAAGTCCACAAATTCATGGCTGATATAAACAAACAATTCTAAACATAGAAAAGGCACAAAAGGTAATAGAAGTAGAGAAAATACCATTTATTCTCTTGAACATTGAAAACATTGATTCATGATAGTTGTGGTCAAGAAACCATATGCTTGGATCTTTCTCATCTTCTTCAAAGGGGACTGAAATAAAGAGCGTGGACTACCCATCAAAACAATATCCACCCTACTGGACTCATACATGGCTAGATTATAAACAGTGATTTGGAACCACAAAAGTCTACAGTCGATATAAATAAAAACAGTTAAAATACACAATGGTTCAACCCAAAATCCAAACAATCTCGAGACTGATTGATAATGCTGATGTTATACATTTAATAAAAATTTCAGGGGGTGCCTAAAGTATCGATAATTTTGGCTGCCAAAACCTTAGCCTGCACGAGTCAATCGAGTATAGCCTACCAACGAATTTCCAGTGTCATACAAACTATGAAAAGAGTAACAACCAAAGCAGGTGAAAAAAGCAGGCAACTGACTGCCAGAGTCCTAAGTAATTCATAATGAGAGGCAACCTAAGAGGTTTTGCGAACTAGGACAACCAAAGCACAAATAATCGCTTCTTTTCATGCCTTTTTTGCGAATCAGGGCAACCACAAGAAAGGTACATTTTCAGTCTCTGTAGCCAATTCTAAACTTATGTTCAACGAACGTCAAATTCAGACAAATACCCAACAAATTGCCCAGATTCCTTGCCCCATATCATACAAATCAACCAGCGTCCACTTTCAGCTATTAAACCGAATCAAACGAGCAGACAATTCAGATCCAAACACAATACAGCAATATTTTTGACAATAGGCGAGAGAGAAATCGGTAAGAGAGATGAATTCGGACCTGCATAGCTATTGCTGACATCGACAGTGCCCTTGAAAGAGCTACCGAGTAAAACTCCTACAACTCGTTTGCGAGACTCCTTAGCAACTCGATTGTAGTTATCAACGATACTGAGCAAAACCAGAGGGTGGACTACGACCTTCTCGACTGGCCTCGATGATATTTGCTGCGTCTTGATCACATCCATGGTGGAGTTTTTTGCAGTGTCTCCGAGTTCAATCGAAATTGCGATTCTGTGCTGAGGAGGTTAAACCCACTTAGAAATGGAGAAGCAGCTTATTAAAAGCCCTTTTTTTGGTGAGGAGTTTTCTTGGCAGAAAAGCAAACCTCCATTGTGATGAGCCAGCGACCCACCCGGCCCAAAGAATCCACAAATTCTAAACCGCGCTTTTTGTTGGCCTCTTCCGAGGTCCAGATATCAAGTTTTAAGCCAGCAAATCAAATTTTATTAATATTTAATTTTTGAAAGGTATATTATATTAAGGCTGTGTTTAATTAAATAAAATTTAAATATAGCGTAAGATAAATATTTAAAATCATTCGGAGGAGGGAGAGAAGCCCAAAACAATCCGGCAAACCTCAGGTGAGCCCATAGCCCAATATCAGAGAAGAAACTGCTTCACTAAGATTTATTTTCATTTAATTAGCTTTAAACAGCTATTAAATACGAAAAATACCCAAATTTACATCTAAAACTTCATATCATTCATTACTTTGAATTAAACTTAGTTTAAACTTTTAACTAAGCTCCATAAAACGTCACGGGTTAAGTTGAATTATAATGTCCCAATTAGTTGACATAACTTGTTTATAATGGTATGCCTACAAGAATTATATCCATAATTTTTTTGGAAGTTAAAATTTGAAATTATATTGAATATATGGAGCTGTTGTTATGTAACTATCCATCCATCCATCCATCCATAAGGTACTAGATGTACTCATAAATTTTGGTTGGTGTGAGGTTGATTGTACATCCTCCACTACTATTGCCAGCACGGTTAATAAATAAATACACATAGCACTATTATTTATGTCTACCTCTTGCACTCTCCTCTCCTCTACCAAACTATAACCTGAGAACCACCCCAAACTTGCCCTCTTTTTAATTTGATTGCTTTTTTTTTTGAATGAGTCAATCAGAATCAGTGATGCAGGAGGAGCATATGGTATGCCATTTTTGGCTTTTATGGCGCTGTGTTTTGTGGCTCTAAAGCAATGGGGAGGGGGAGTTTCAGAGATATAAATGCCCACTCAATTTACGCCCTTCAGTTTGCCTTGCCAACTCGCCAGTCCCAACTGTTTTATGGTACCATATCAGTAGGGAGTCAATTTTAAAACAACATAAATAAGGACAATTTGTGTATACATATTGAAAAGGAACAATATACATAAAACCATTTATATATTTAATCTATGACTGCGGAATCTTATTTTTTCTAATAATTGAACCTTTTATGGAAAATAAAACCGATAGAGATTAGAGAATAATGGGGTTTTGGTTTTAAGTAGATTTCTTAACCGATTGCCCATTTTCTTTTTCAGGGGAAACTCGGCCATCAGTTCCGGAGAGAATGCCGTATTTCCCCTTTCTGGTCAAATTAGTACACTCAAATCCTAGGGTTCCGCCAAGTACCTTCTGAATGTAATTCGCCACCTCAATCGCTGATCTTCCGCTGCTGCACGTCATTTCCGCTGGCAACTGATTCAGAAACGTGATTTCGTACGTCGGCCTCGGATTCATGAACACAAAGTACGGATCGAGCAATTTGTGTCCATTCACCGTCGTCCCGTAAAACACACTCTGTTTCGTGTTAATGGCGACGGGGACGATTCTATCTGTTAGCTCGGCGAAAAGAGCACTGAATCGCAATAGGAATGGCTCTCTGCAAGTGGTCCCTTCGGGGCAAATCACGAGGTCGCCATCTTCAAGAAGGCGTTTAATGTGAGCCGCATCTTTCTCTCTCTCTCTCGACAGAGCAACGGCCTTGATCGGAGAAATTATCTCTGTGAATTTGCTTATACTGTACGTAACGCAGCTGATTTTTCTACCTAAGGCAACCGCGACGATCACCGGATCTAGGACAGTGCGGTGGTTGCAGACGAAGAGGACGCCGCTCTGGCCTTTCTTCGGCGGCGACGGCGGAGTTCCCTTAACAATGAGCCTGATTCCGAGGAATTTGTAGTTGTACCAAGCGATTCTTTCCGGCAAGGGAATGTTGGTGTAGACTCTGAGAATTGAAAGGATCACGCCGATCGGCAGCCATAAGAAGGTCAATAGCGCCGCCAGTGGTGTCGGCCGTTGCACAAATCGGCCGTCGTGGAAAACAATCGGGCTTAAAAGTTGGTTTCTCGGCAGCGGCTCACACTTGGATCGTGGGACCATATATCCTTCCTGAAACATCAGCCACAAATTTCAAGGTCAAATTATACGTCAATTATAATTTTTTCTTTAAACCAATTTAAGTATTTATTAATAAAAAAAATCACTCAAATATTGATAATTGTGATAACTAATATTCATTCATGATGCATGAAACTGAGGTTGGAACGTACATGAGGAAGATGTGGGTGTGGCATGAAAATGTTGTGGTTTATATTAATCGCTCCCATAATGTTACTAAATAATAATATTAATAATGCAACAAAACAATATTAATTGAAGGCACGTGCTAGGAAAAATGGGGGGGGGGGGGG